GGAGACATAGAACAGCAGTTGAGGGGCTCTAATTAATATTCCATTAGCCTGTTCCAAATAAGAACTCTACACTTAAAATTCCCATATACATAAGATATATATAGAGCCAATGGTATGTTACCTTAACTTTAATTCTGTTAACCAGGCTCATGTCATGCAAACAGGGCATCTGCAAGTCGTGCACTGCCAACCAGAGCACTTTTACTTTGCCACTTCTTTGGGCTATCCACAGCAGCTGCAAACAACTTACGAATTGACTAATGCCTAGCAACTGCACAACAAATAGTAGCATGTTAGCATATCATATGAAACATTTATATACATATATACATATATATCTACTCTCTGATATATATCTGGCTCTGGCGAACAATTTCGCCGCTCAATTAGCAATTAATGTGCGAATATCTGCGGCCATCAACGCATTGGCTAGCCGCTGTGTGTTAATTATTAAATGCAGACAGAGAGACAGAGGCAGAGAGAGAGAGAGAAAGAGAGACAGAAAGAGAAGAAGGTTCAGTGGGCATCCGCCCATTCCAAAGGCGTCATTTGGCCACATTTCGAAGTGGATTAGCGGAAAGGATAATGGTTGAAGGGCTGCGCCATTTCCTACTGTTAAGTGCATTCTCTCTGTGCTGTCTGTTGGCATACGAATTGCAGGCACTGTTCATAATTAATTGATCAATAACAATGTTATTGTTCTATGGCAATTGATTAGCTCGCTCACACTCCGCCGTCGCATATCCTGCGCAATTATCGGCGGCAATTGACAAATGATTAGCTGGCCAAATACGCATCTTGTTCCTGTTGTTTCTGTTGTTGTTGTTGCTGTTGTTGTGGCAGCTGTTGGCAATGTTTATTTGCAGCGTAGCCAACAAACTGGCAAGAAAGCTAATTAAAAAGGGGTAAGCTCTGACGCATCAAAGGCCATTAGCCGATAAAGAGCCAGCGAGACGGCAGTACGGAGGCAGAGCAAGACAGTCAGCCGAAGCCAAGCCCAAAAATGAGCCCAAGGCTGAGAACGGAAATGCTTTGCACAGCAACAATAGCGGGAGCAAGAGGAAGAGCAAGAGCAACTCGCGTGTTGCGATGAGTATTTAAAAAAAAAAATGAACTGAGTGAGTGCTTAGGCTGAGCATGCTCGACAGGGAGCTGCCCTGGCAAGAGAAGCTGTTGAGAGGCGCGGCTAATGATATATTCAGAGCTATCAGAGATGGCCAGAATTTGGGTAGAGTGAAAAAGTTCTTAGGGTTTAATATAATAAACAACAAAATAATATTTCTTTAATGTATATACATCAAAGCTAAAAGGAGAAACGAGCGAACTGATAATAAAACGGAACGAGAACTACAGAGAAAAAGAGAAAGAAATATATGTACATCTGAAATATATATATTATATAAAAGTATATGTATATATCTATGGAGCTCAAATAGTAAACTAGACTAAACAATTCATGCAGACAGACATTGGGAAGGACGAACAGATGAGCATGGCTAGAGCTAATCACCTATAGCTGCTGATCAGACATACATATAGTATACATACTCCATACTCTAGCCGCGCCCACTTCAGCCTCACATTAAAGATACCCTCTTCGAGCACTCTCAGTATATACAGGGTATCATTAAAAAAAAAAAACGCACACTACCCAGGCTGAAATGTTTTTCGCCTTTGTGGTTTCTTGTTGTCATTGTTGTTGCTGTTGTTGCTGTTGTTGTTGTTGTTGCTGTTGTTTGGCCAATTAACAAAAAGATTGACACTTTTATTTAAAAACCAAGTCATTGGCCATAGAAAACAACAGATTGCAATTTAGAATTTGCCACGCTCTGCGAGCAGCTGGCCGAAGCGAGGCTAAGCCTCGACAGATGAAATGAAGCACAGACAGAGGTCACATTCTATAAGAGCTTAAATGTATATATATATAGAGCTTGGATTTGTAATAGCGTGCCACCAGCTCGTGTTGCAAGTGTGTTTCTCTGTATGTGTGTGTGTGTCTCTGTGTCAGGTGTATCGCTTGCCAATCAATAATCTAATGCCTCACAATATCCACTCAGACAGCTCGCGCTGACACTTTGACAGATTATTTTGAGCAATGCTGTGATTAGCATACGAGCCGAGGTAGCTGATTTGATTGTTGATTGGCTCAACGATTCGATACGATTGATTGATCGGAAAATTGGGCATGAAGACTGACGATAAATGAAACAAAATAAGTTCAAATTAAGCATTTGTCAAGCTGGCTAAAAAGTAGACAGATTATTTTTTGTTGTGAAGTCGAGTATTTGCAATGAGCGGCTCATTAGTCAAGCGAATGAATCTGCCAGAGATTTACCAGTTAAGAAGATTTCCATAGAGCACAGAAGCAACTCTTTTATTGATTTGATTTGGCAAATAATGTACAAATAATAGAAAATCTGTTAGCTCACTCTCTCCCTCTCACTCTTCCACTCTTCACCTGCACATAAATTTGATTTAATTAACTAAAAGCATCAAGAAACAATAGCAGCAGCTTTTGCCTTAACGACCAACAGCAGCCGAATGGCAACAAATCCCAGGCAGCCCATTAAGCCAGCATTGCCAAATCCCAGCAGAGAGAGAGAGATGCAAAGAGAGAGAGAAGGACTTATAGCTAGGCGGCACTCCAATAACAGAGTGATTAAATTTTACTACCATGTTGAACAAACAAATAATAAGAACACTTCACCCCCCAAACCTCCAATCCCCCTCTGTGCTTTTGCAGGTCACGTCGTGGAGCTGGCCGAGCAGTCGGAGAACAAGACACTGAATGTTTTCTCGCAGGTTTACAGGCGCATGGAGCCGCTGTCCCGGATGCTCATACAGCAGCTCTACACGGAAATCATCAAGTATGTTGTGTCTGTCTGTGTGTGTGTGGTGCCTGAACTATTTACTCAACTTTCGCCTTTCTACCCCACCCCCCGCCCTCTCCCTCTACAGCCACTTGAAGTACACGTCGAACTACAGCAGCAACAATGGCCAGGGCAATAGCATTTTGAATAGCCAGAGCAGCCTGGAGAGCGCACTGCACAAGTTCTTTGAGAATCTGTTCCCGGTGGCCTACCACCAGGCGGTGCATCTGACCAAGGACAATTATGGCGAACTGCACGATGACTACACCAACTGCCTGAAGCACAACTATGATGATTTGCAGCCGTTCGGCCAGATACCCAAGGAAATTCAGACCAATCTGGTGCACAGCGTTCACATGTCGAACGTCTTTATGAGCGCCCTGCTCCAGAGCGCCAAGGTGCTCAGCGAAACGGACGCCCTGTACGGCAAGCAGCTGACGGAGACCTGCAAGCTGCATCTGCTCAAGATGCACTACTGCCCCAACTGCAACGGGCACACGGAGCACAAGAGGCCAAAGGTCTGCTACAGCTACTGCATGAACGTGATGCGGTAAGTGTGTGTGTGTGTGTGTGGGAGGAGCAGAGCTCTCAATCCTCGCCAGTTGCTCATGGCCCGTATGTTTGCTTTGCAGCGGCTGCTCGGCTCAGTACTCGGGCCTGCTGGACGGCCCCTGGGCCAGTGTGGTGGAGGGCCTCGACAATCTGGTGGCTGGCCACATACGCTCCGAGAGCGGCATCATGAACACCATCAAGCAGCTGGACACCAAACTCTCGGAGGCCATAATGAGAGCCATGGAAAATGGACCCGAGCTGGAGAAGAAGGTGAGTGGGTTGAGCTGGGCTAATGCTGTATAGGTGAGATGTTTGCTAGAGAATAGGCTGTGAAGGACTTGTAATGGGAATGAAGTTTCTTTGTTTGATGAAACTATATTCAGATATATCAAATGGAGAGTGTAGTGATTATAATTGATTATAATGATGATGGATTAGAGTTAGGATAAGACTAAGACGAGACCATTCTCGAGACGTACAAGTGTTTTATTTTTTGCATGTTAAGATTAAGTTGCCTAAGAGGTAGCAGAGCAATAATCTTTAAATATTTCATCAATAAAAGTAAAAAGTAAATAAAATAAAAATGTAAAGCCGAATAAATTCTTATTAGTTCTCAAAGGAGTTCCCAGTAATCTGTCATATCAAATGTAGCTTCACTTCGAGTCTGAAATTAATAGAGTTTATAGTACTTCAGTCCACACTAAAATCTGACATTCGCCCTTCACTTCACATCTGATCCAGGATATATTGTATTATCTCACATACATAACTGTCTCTCACAATACATGAACTCTGAATGGCATTCAGAAATCAACTTGAATGCACTGCAGCTGCAAAATTATCCCATGTCAAGTTTCAATTAAGTTCATACCCATTCGTACACATAAATACATACAGGCGCAGGCGAGTATTATATTTAAACTATAATTACAATATTGAACATGTGAAGTGCTCGCATTACGAAAAGTATTTCCTCTTTGATATGACAAGAGCGTGCGTGCGTGCTGTGCTGCAGCACAAGGACGTTAATTGCGGCTTAATTTATGAACATTTTAAATGAATTTCATGAGCGGCCTTCGGGCGGATGCCCGAATACCGAATGCCGAATGCCGCCAATGCAGCGTGCAACCAGTTTCTGGAGTGTAGCGAGTTCGAAACGGATTTTAACTGTTCAATTAGATGACATTTATTCAGCGAGTCGGCAGCGTGCTGCAAGTTGCAATTGACATGCAACGGCACGAGTGGCAGCTGAGCATGGGGCCAGACGATTAGCGTGGGGCACAGGAAATGCAGCTGAGCATGCGAACCAAACTAAACCCATTCGCCACTCACTCACTCCACTCTCTCCCCCCCTCTCTCTTTGCAGGTGAAGAAAACTTGTGGCACGCCCAATTTGCTGCCCTCGCTGACCGCCGCCGAGACGCAGCCGCTGCAGCAGCATGTGAGCATCAAGTGGGCCATGTCGCCAGAGGCTAGCATTCTGCACTTCCTGTCAACCATACAGAAGTCCAAGGACTTTTTCACCAACATCGTCTACAAGTAAGTCAAATACAACAATAACAACAAACACTTTTCGAATGCCACACACACATAGGCGGGAAATGATATAAATATATTTGGAGTTTAATGTGTGCGGATCTCTGTACGCTGTATCTGGGTTTCCATACGGTAAAATCTGCTCAACGACCGCTTCAAAGGGCTGGCAACGAGTCCGGAGCCGAGTCCGAGTCCGATTCACTTGCCACCGGTGAACTTATTGTTAGCGTCGCGCAGCACCTTGAGGACATCCTTAAGCAGGCACACGTAGAGCGGCGTGAAAATCGCAATAAAGAATATAATATTGGCCAAAATACAATTCTTCACAAGAGGACGACAGGCGGTCTATGATAAAGAGAGAGATAGAGGGAAAGAGAGGGCAATGTGAGGTACTTGGACTTGCACTTACTCCACGTGGTGCAACGGCCAAAGGACGAACCAAGCAAAAGTTATGCGCAACCTTGTGCACATACGTAACAAGTTCCTTGAACATTTTCAGGCTCTGGGCTTTTAAGATATTTGATGTAAATGGGGTTTATTGAGACTAAGTGGAAATTCAAAATTTTTGCGGTTTAAATAAATGCTGCTTTAAGTTTGACGTGCCGAATGTGATTGGGCGCAGCTGGCTCAGTGGGGCAGTTCTCTCGAGATGTGAAGTGAGCAAAGCTAACTGAGTTTTCGTTTCAGCTTCTGTGACGAGGACTACACACAGAGCAACGATCATCTCTGCTGGACCGGAGATCGGATTGGCGACTACACACAGCTGTTGATAATGCCCGGCGAGGACAGGCAGCGCTACAATCCCGAGGTGCCCTGGGAGAACCAGTCGCAGCTGACCAAGCTGAACGAGCTGGTGGACAAACTGCAGAAGATACGCAAGACCATTGGCGTGACGGTGAGTGCAGAGTCGAGTCGATAGAGCAGAGAGATCAGCGTATATGCATATTAATTATGATCGTTCTCTTAGGCGCCTGTGAGCAACAATCACGACATTCAGAGCGACATGGGTCACGAGGGCTCCGGCGGTGGTGGCGGTGGCGGCGTTGGTAGCGTCGGCGGTCACATCAGCGACGACGAGGAGGAGTACAGCAGCATGCACGGCTCGGGCGATGGCTCCGGTGATGGTAGGTTTATTGGATAGCCCCGATGATTCTCATTGAAAGTACTCAACATCCATTGCCCTTTCAGGTCCCATCTCGCACACCGACGACCCACTGGGCAGCACGCCCAACACCTTCGATGGCGAGTCGCGCGACAACTCAAAGGGCGCGTCGAGCGCGCTGACGGCCACTGCGACAAGCCTGCTCCTCACACTAGTCACACTCTATAGTAGTTGTAGTTAAAGCAGCACCCAAATCCCAAAAAGAAAGAAAAAAGGAAACAATGAAAGATATATATAAATAAAAGATATATATATATATAAATATATAAATATAACACAAAGGCAACGGCAGCAGTAGCAGCAGCAGCGCAATTAAAAATCTAATTATTATTATTTTCATTTTGATTATTATTATCTTTATTATTATTATTTGTGTAATGCCTAAGTTGTTACAATTAATTTATTAGTCTCTAAGCTAATTCGATTCTGCAAATTCAAAATCCAATTCGAGTTGCGTTACGTTACTCTGTTTGGCGTTGCCACCCCCTTTTATTATTTTTAGTTTCTTTGTGTTTCCTCTTCTAGCTTTTCCCAACGCCTGAGCACTTAGCACCTCAACGCTGAATCCAATTAGACTTTTGTGCCATATAAATAAATGTGTTGCGAGGCTTGCACAAACGAAACACAAATATATTAAACCAGAAACAAAATAGGCTCAACTTTGCAACAAACATGTTCTTGACAACTCATATGAATATATATAAATATAAATATATATATAAATACATACACAAATAGCCGTACATTACGTAAATTATAAAAGCTCAATGTTCAAAGCGAATTGTTCCTTTTTTGGTGTAATTAAATAGAAACAAAAACAAATGAATAATGCAGAGTAGTTGCTGTTTAAAGAGAGCTGAGCTAGAGAGAGAGAGCGCAAGCAATACGTAAAAAAAGAAAAACAAGAATTTAAATATTTGAATGTGTTAAATAAGCAAACAAAATATTGAAACCCGAATAATTGTTATTCAACATTTTTGTGAGAGCTCAAAGATTATGAACAAGAAACAAGAAAAATGCATAAAAATGGAATTTAGTTGAGTAAAACGCACATTTTTGGGAAAATAACTAGAAGACTTACAGCTTTATACGCATGAAACGATGAAAATCTATGAAATATGGTATATGAACTATATATATCTATAGATATATATGTATACATAAATATCTTATACGTAGAATTATTTAAATTAATTATATTAATAATTGAACAATTTGAAATGAAATGTCATCAAATGCACACACATTAAATACAAGCTAAATACATAAATTATGCAAATATTGATCTGATGATGATGATGTGAACTGAGCAATTGCAATTGAGAATCAGCTTTTGATCAGCTTCGAGAAAAGCAAAAGAAAATATTTAAAATTCACAATTTAATATTTTTTTGTGTTGCAAAAAAAAATTATACATAAATATTGCAAGGCAAAGAAAATATAAAAAATAAATACATAAACAGTTAAGCAAAAATAATAAAATATATATATAAATAAATATATATATATATACAAACATATGCATATGTAGTATATTAGCGTGTAAAGTGTAAAAAGAAAATGATTTATGAGAACATGAAATTTAGTTAGTAGCCAATTAACAAAAGGATAATAAACAATACAACAAATTGATCTACTTACTATAAACAAAAAATCATACATATATATATATAAACGACTATATATATGCATACTAATTACTAAAGACCATCTAGAATGAACAACTGCGTTCGGTTGGATGTGTGTCTGTGTATGTTATAACTATGTATAATTATTATTTTTATTATTTAACTATTGCATGTGATTAATAATATTTAAGTTAAACGTAAACAAAACATATTATACTGTAACTTATGTATACCGCAACAACACACACTCACACAATGTGCGAAAAAAAGAAACAAAAATATTTAAGCAAATCATCTTTGTAAATCGATTCGAAGATAAAAACAATTGCAAAATGTGCACAAAAAAATTAAATGTACCACTTTTTAGACGCCTAAAAACCAATAAATAATTATGTAACAAAAAAGAGTCCACATGTTTATTGAGCACGTGCTTAAAGTAATTATGCATCTGCATATATTAATGAACACAGTTTGTAATATTCAATAGAGCAAGCAATAAACGAAAACATTTCAAATTCAAATTGAACGCGCCAGAACTTTTTCAGCGTTGCCACCATTGATTGCCGGATAAGCAATAAACGCTGCCAACTTGCTATGCGATAGATTCTATCGATAAGTCATTGTAGATTGTCTGGTCAGTGAGATTGCATAGCTTGAAAATGCAGAGCCAATACTAATAAAACAATACACAACTTGATTAAAATGCATAGGTTGAATGCATTTTGAAGTATTTTATTTGCTTAGCAGGAAGAATACATTATAGACTAAAGTATCGAGCGTTACAAAATTAAAAATGTTACAGCCTGGAGATCATGTTCTATTCGCCATGGGTGATCGAGTGTACACAACACACGTAGTACGGCGAGAATATCGCTATGAAGAATATCAGATTTGCAAAAAAACTGTTCCTTACAAGAGGACGACACGCAGTCTAAGGAAATGAAAGAAAGGGAGTTAAATGATATTTAAATTAGACAATTCACTAGACTTACTCCACGCGCAACGGGCACAGGACGAGCCAGAAATAACTTTCGTGCTATGCTATGCATGTACGCAATAAGCTCATTGAACATTTTCAGGCTGTGGGTTCTAAGACCTAAGGATTTATTACAAATTCGAATTTTGTTGGCTTGAATTATTGTTAAAAGTTTGAGTGGCCAAATGGAATTACATTGAGATATCTCAATTAGTATTTATTTTTGTTCAAATGCGAAGTTAACTGAGTTTTCATAATGTATTTTGTGTGCTGAGGTCTGGCAGCCCTGATGGCAGTCAAGCAGCTGGCACTAGTTCACAATGGAAACCTATCGATAGTATCGGAAAAAAGGCGCGAATTCAGCATAACGCGCTGGCAGGCGAGAGCTAAACGGCGCTCTGTTGTATTTTGATAGCATTTTGTTGCAAACGGCGGCGGAGTAAAGATTAAATATTTATTAGGTATTAATATATTCTGATAGAGTACAAATGGCGCGCCGCGACTACGCACAAGATAGAGGTAAACGGAAGGCCTATATAAAAAAATTTCTATACAAATTTACAATCAATTTCATTTGTAGAATCCATCAAAACATTTCTCTCCGAGTTCTGTAAAACTGACGATGATGGCAAAAAAGACTTCGTCTATGGCTCACAGTTGGTGAAGCTGGCACATCGCGAGCAAGTGCTAATTACAATCGATCTGGACGACTTGGCCGAGTTCAATGAGAGCCTCGCCGAGGCTGTGATCGAGAATTGCCGACGCTATGCGTCGATCTTCAGCGATGTGATTGCCGAACTGCTGCCCAGCTACAAGCAGCAGGAAGTGCACGCCAAGGACGCATTGGACGTCTATATTGAGCATCGTCTGATGATGGACGCGCGCACACGGAATCCCATGGAGCAAAGGGATGAACGCAATGCATTTCCCGCAGAGCTGATGAAGAGATTGTGAGTAGAGCGAGGAGCGACCTGCTGTTTAGGCATCATAATTACCTTTCTGCTTCCCAGTGAGGTCGGCTTCAAGCCTCTGTCCACAGAGAAGGCGCTCTCCATACGCGAGGTGAAGGCCCAGCAAATCGGCAAATTGGTCACAGTTCGCGGCATTGTGACGCGCTGCACCGAGGTGAAGCCAATGATGGTGGTCGCCACCTACACTTGTGACCGCTGTGGCGCTGAGACCTATCAGCCAGTCAACTCGCTCTCCTTCATACCGGTGCAGGATTGCCCCTCCGACGACTGTCGCGTTAACAAGGCGGGCGGTCGACTCTATCTGCAGACGCGCGGCTCGAAGTTCGTCAAGTTCCAGGAGCTCAAAATGCAGGAGCACAGCGATCAGGTGCCCGTGGGTCATATTCCGCGCAGCATGACGGTGCTCTGCCGTGGCGAGGTCACACGCATGGCCCAGCCTGGAGATCATGTTCTGATCTCTGGCGTATTCTTGCCTATGGTACGCACAGGCTTCGCCCAGATGATACAGGGTCTGCTCTCAGAGACCTTCCTGCAGGCACACGTAAGTCCCGTGGATAACTCTTGAGTGCTGCCTTTATATTCCCTATGATATTCTCTTAGCGCATCATCTGCATCAACAAAAACGACGACATTACGGACAAGGATTGTGAGCTGACGCCCGCTGAGCTAGAGGAGCTTGCCCAGGATGATTTCTATGAGCGCCTGGCCACCAGCTTGGCACCTGAGATCTACGGCCATTTGGATGTGAAGAAGGCGTTGCTGCTGCTGCTCGTCGGCGGCGTGGACAAACGTCCAGATGGCATGAAGATTCGCGGCAACATCAACATCTGCCTGATGGGTGATCCCGGTGTGGCCAAATCTCAACTGCTGGGCTACATAAGCCGCCTGGCCATACGCTCGCAGTACACAACAGGTCGCGGCTCCTCGGGCGTGGGTCTGACGGCAGCTGTCATGAAGGATCCACTCACTGGCGAAATGACGCTCGAGGGCGGCGCCTTGGTCCTGGCAGATCAGGGCGTCTGCTGCATCGATGAGTTCGACAAGATGGCCGACACAGATCGTACGGCCATACACGAGGTGATGGAGCAGCAGACCATTTCCATCGCCAAGGCGGGCATCATGACCACGTTGAATGCGCGTGTCTCCATCCTGGCTGCTGCCAATCCCGCCTTCGGTCGCTACAATCCCCGTCGCACAGTGGAGCAGAATATCCAGTTGCCAGCTGCTTTGCTGTCGCGTTTCGATCTGCTCTGGCTCATCCAGGACAAGCCCGACAGGGACAACGATCTGCGTCTGGCCAAGCACATTACGTATGTGCACAGTCACAGCCGACAGCCGCCCTCGAGGGTCAAGTCGCTGGACATGCATCTGATGCGACGCTATATTAATCTCTGCAAGCGCAAGAATCCCACCATTCCCGACGAGCTCACCGACTACATTGTGGGCGCCTATGTGGAGCTGCGTCGCGAGGCGCGCAACCAGAAGGACATGACCTTCACATCCGCTCGCAATCTGCTCGGCATTTTGCGTCTGTCCACGGCTCTGGCGCGTCTGCGTCTCTCCGACCGCGTCGAGAAGGACGATGTGGCCGAGGCGCTGCGTTTGCTCGAAATGTCCAAGGATTCGCTTAACCAGATACACGAGCACCAGAAGGGACAGTGAGTATTGTCTACAGCCTCTAACTACGAATGATTCTCATTTCTTCTCCCCATTCTTGCAGCGTGCCAAACACTTCGGATCGCATCTTTGCCATTGTGCGCGAGCTGGCCGGCTCCGGCAAGGCCGTGAAGATCGCTGACATCATGGACCGCTGCACGACGAAGGGCTTCAAACCGGACCAGGTGGACAAATGCATCGACGACTACGAGGAGCTGAACGTCTGGCAGGTCAACATGGGCCGCACCAAAATAACATTCATGTAAAGCCGCCGATTCCAGGGCCTATTTTATCTATTTCTACATATTTGTTAAGCACATCTCAAATACATTTCATCATATCTCATGTTTCATTAAAGATTACTTAAATAAATCAATTCGCATTTGTCTGTAATTTGTCATGCATAAATTGACTTTTTATTCGTAAACTCTTGAAGCACATCAAACACAGATATAGACAAATATATATATAAATATTTAATACATTCAATAGACTTTTGAAATATGAAACAAAACCATAAAAAACAATAATACGCGTCGAGCCCAGCTGTGTTGCCTTTTAAATTCGTAGTTCAATCCTCTCCGGTTGCTCACAGAAATGGGGATATCCGGATCCCGTTTCAATTATACAGACATCGATAAGTATATAGATTATAGATAGATATATGCCATTTAACAGAGAAGCGCCACTTGGTTATAGTTGCTCAGGTGTTCCGGGTGCTCCGGGTGTTCCGGGTGCTGCTCTACATGCTCTTGTTGAAGCTGAGCGCAGCTCGAAGTTTGTTGCGTATGCGCGGCGAGTTCCAGCGATTGCCCGCCGAGCTGAGGCCCACAGAGCGCAGCTCGTTGGGCGAGATGCCCTCGTCGACATCGTCGGCTTCCGTCTTGATCTCCATCTTCTGGACAATGAGACGCACCAGCTGATGCTGCTGCTCCAGCATGCGGCTAATATCGCGCAGCTTGCGTCGCTGGCGCTCCAGCTCGGCAATCATGATATCGTCATTGTTATCAAAGCCAATCACATCCATAGCAGCTGAGCGATAAGAGAGAGGGAGAGAGAGCATGTCAGAGAGCGCAGTAGTTAGTTTGGCCGTCTACTTACAATCCTCGGTGAAGGGATTCGAGAACCATTTGCGCAATATGAAGTCGAGAAATCCAATTTTGCACTTGGTGTCATTGGGATATTCTATGAGCTCCATTTTGTCCACGCGCTGCAGCCAGACATGAGGCAACTTGCGCTCCAGCTCGGTGTGGAGCACCACCTGCATGGCCAGGCGCTTTAGCTGCGCATTCCGACGCACTGACTCAATGTCGCCAACGGCCAAACCGATGAGCAGGTTCATCAGCAGAATGGGCATCAGAATCATAAAGACACCTGAAGAGATTAGAGATTAGATGAGATAGGGTAGATAGACTATAGCAGCTCCTCTTACTTAGTATCAGGAAGGAGGTCATGGGCACCTTCAGCTGGTCGCGATAATAGGTGTTCACATAGGTGCCCACAAAGTCCAGTTCGCCGAGCATCATGGAGAAGGTGCGCAGCAGGGACATGGGTATGTTGGAGAAGGACAGATGATTCGGCTGCGGATCGATGATCTGTAAGAGAGTGAAACCCAGCTAGAAGACAGAGATCTAATCACAGCTAGTGCGTCAAACGCTCACCTTCGACAGCAGAATGTAGAAGGCGAGGCCAAAGGCAATGATCAGTATGGAGAAGACCAGCAGCACCTTGATCAGCGTCTGCAGTATCTCCAGGAACATGACCACATAGATGCCGACCTGATCGAAGCGCTGCAGGAAGAGCAGCAGACGGAACCAGGACAAGAAGACGGCAATCGATGCGGCCGAATAGTGAATCGTATTGATGGCGCCGTCTGGCCTAAACGCCGGCGTTATCATGATCAAGGCTGATATGTAGAGCACCCAGGAGATGAGATTGACCGTCTCCACCAGGTAGTGCAGGCGCTGCTGGTAGATCTGTATCAGTTCGCGCATCGAGTTGAGCAAGATGTAGACGACGATCACAATGGCACAGAAGAGAATGGCTGTGGTCCGATTGATGTTCTCCACGCACGAGTCCAGACGTATCTGGGCAGCCAGCGATGGGCTCTGCGATAGGTTTTTGGTAAGCACCTCCCATCTGGGAAAACGAAATGTGGGATATGTAAGTGATCATTGATTGATCGGGGATATCGCTGGGACTTACCCCAAACTGCAATACTGACTGAGCGCCTCGTTGTCTCCGGGACGCAGCTCAATGTTGTTCATCATCAGCGACGAGTAGATTGTGACAAAGACCAGAAAGATGGAGTAGACCAGCAAATTAGCTAGATGAAAGTATTTGCCGTACGAATTCCATTTCATTTGTAAATATTTCTGACTCAGCGGATGTGCCAGCAGTTCCACACGTCCATGTGTGACCATGGTCTAGATGGGAAGTGGAGGAGTGAGGCAAAGAGAGAGAGAGAGAGAGAGCAAACGAAAGAAACAGAGAGAGATAGAGATAGTCAGAGAGAGACAAGGGGAAAAGAGAAAAAGAGAAGAGAGGGTATAACAGAGAAAAGGAGAGAGAAAGACCGAAGTAGAGGGAGAAATAAATCAAGAATGAGAAGGACAGAGATTGAGAAAAGATTGAAGGAGTGAGAGAGTAAGAGTAAGAGAGAGAGGGAGGAAGAGAATAAAATATTTACACATGAAATTATAAGGAGAAAGAGAGAGAGAGACATTGAGAGTTAGATAAAGATTAAATACAGAGAGATGAAGAGAAATAGAAAGAGAGAGAGAGAGAGAGAGACTCTTCTTAGTGAATAGTTTCATTAGTATAAGTCACAAATAAAACACACACACACACACACTACTATTATTATTACAACAACGATAGGTCTAAGCACAACATAGTTACGTTTAGCAAGTGCATTTGCTTGGGACGAATTTACAGTTGGCTTTGCTATTTGGTTTTCCATGTAGTTGTCAAACTTAGGCTTAGACTCACATTCACAACGGCCAATGGCGCCGGCCGCCATTTGGGATCATTGAGTTCTTTACGCTTTTCCTCAATTTGCTCGGGTGTTTTTTGGAATGGCGCAAATGAATATTTGATCTAAATGTATTCGGTGTTTGATATTTTGAATTAAGGTTAAAAACAGTCGCGATATGTGATGTGGGGTGGGTGCGTGCTCATGACTTATGAATCGGATATGCGGCGGACCCTAACTAGCAAAGATCGTCAGGCAAGAGGAGCAACAAACAATTAGAAAGTAGGAGAAAAAAAAAACAAACAAAGAAAGTAGAAAGACACTCAGGTGGCATGCAACTGTCTGGGCAGCTGATTTCTGCTTACATTCAAGGCCGGCAATGGAATGGGATTGGATGTCATGATCGGCTCTCCGGTTTTCTCATCGATCTTGGCAAACATATAGGGACATTGCAAGAATGCGAATGAGTACTTAATCTATAGATATCATTGTGATTCAAAGAGAAGAGTTTAGAATTTAGCACCCGCTGGCCAACTGGCATTGATTGTAGTTCATGAAGTTGAGGATGAGATGAGCTACTCAATGTCAAATACCAAATGAAAATGCCGGACGGAGTGCCGGACGACGATCAACTTACGTAAAAGCTCTTCGAGTCCTTCTTACAGTTCGCCTTCGTGATGCACTTGTCCTGCACGGCCTCGAACACCTTCGGCATGGAGGCGATCAGCGCTAGCGTGACGCAAGGATGCTTATCAGAGCGCAGGGCCATCACCTCGTTCGCCCGCTCCTCGTGGGTGACCATGGCCAGAGCCGCCTCCGGATATTTGTAGTAGATGGCGTAGTCGATGGCGCTCATGTCCAGCACATTGTAGACCAGCTTGCAGCCCATGGACATCAGCACGGATATCGCATGGGGCTTGTTCTCCATTGTGGCCAGGTGTAGAGCAGTGTTCTGCGAGAGCGAGAGAGAGAGAGAGAGAGAGAGGGATGTCAGAGATTCGTTCAATCTCCCATAGCTTCTACTGTGCTCACCCCATCCTTGTCCAGCTGATCGAGCAGATGCGAGTGCACCGAGTGCAGCAGCTCTATGGTCTCGGTGTAGCCCGACATGGCGGCCAGCTGCAGCGGATTGCGGCCGGAATGATCGCGATGCAGCAGGGCGCCACGATTGAGCAGCAGCTGCACCACCCGCGTGTGCCCCTGCTGCGAGGCGATGTGCAGCGGCGTCATGCCCGCGCCGTCGCTCTCGTTGATGATGAACGAGCCCTTCTCCGAGTCGAGCAGCTGCCGCACCGTGTTGTAGCGGCCGTAGCGGGCGGCGAAGTGCAGCGGGCTCTCGTTGTTGTTGTTCTTCAGATTGATGCAGGCGCCCAGCCGTATGAGATTCTCCAGCGAGCGTATGTGCCCATCCCGGCTGGCGTAGTGCAGCGGCGAGCAGCCCATGTTGTCCTTCTCGTTGAGCAGCAGCTGCAGCTGCTGCTGCGTCTGGCAATTGGCCACCTGCTCGGCGAAGTCCGTCAGCCGGCCGCCGTTCATGATCACGAAGTGGAGCACATTGCGCGCCGCCGCATCCTTGATATCGATGCTGGCGCCCAGACGTATCAGCAGATGGACTGTCTTCCAGCCGCTGCGCGAGGCGGCCAGCAGCAGCGGCGAGCGATGCTCCTTGTCCAGGGCATTGATCTCGGCGCCCTCGTTGACCAGATAAGACACAATGTCCGGATGATCGAACATGGAAGCGCAGTGCAGCGGCGTCATCTTCTGAACATCCGTGCAGCTGAGACAGATGCGCTTCTCCAGTGGCTGCATCTCAAACATGAGTTTCACTATTTCAATGGCGCCCTGTGATGGATGAGAAACAGGACAAAGTTTAGACACGAAGCCAGAGACAAAAGTTCCCAAAGTTTTGCAAGTTTCATATGCTCAACGGGCAGCTACCCTGCACACTAGAGCGGGTGCTACTTAGGAGTAAACAAAGAATATTAGATGTATGGATTTGCATGTTGGCTTGAAGATGCATTACTTAACACAGAAATCTTATAATGATAATAATAATAGTAATAATAATAGCAAAAGTAAGACTTCCGAAAGGCTTAATCGAATGTGAATTGTATAGCTAAGCCATGTCTAAAAATTTGATTCAACTTGGTTCACTGAACTCATCAGGATTGCATTTGCAGCGATTCGCGATTCGTTACGATTCCCTGAACATGTTCTCCAGTTATTTCGCTGGGATACCTTAAATATGCACTGATTCACAGCACAAATGTAAATAGTAAACAAATCCGTAGAAGTCCGCGCTCCTGATGAGCCTTTTATTCGCCGAATCTTTTGATTATTTATAGAATATACGCTGAGAGCATATCACTCTCTCGCTCCCTCTCCCTCACTCGCTCTCCCTCTCTCTCCGTCTCTGGCTGTGCCCCTGACACACCTCTTGGCGTTGTCACGTGTCTTTGTTTTGGTATTTGCCAACAGCAGCGAGCGGTGCGCAGCGGCTTTCGGCCACAAAGTCACGTTCGCCTTAGCGGTATTTGCATAAGAATTTGTCAAATTAAAGTCAGCCAAAATATTTCTCAAACACCGAAGAGAAATGTTGTATCCACAACTGGCAACTGGCAACTGGCAGCAGGCAACTGCGAACGGGTAAGCCGAACGACTGCTGCGGCTATCGAGTGCGTGCCAAATGGACATTCACTTAACCAGCTGTGACACGGCGAAATATGAGCGCTGTCTGGCTAAGCTGGATGTCCTTGACAACCACCGAGCCACCGAGTTACCGCACTAACCCCTCCCTCCACTACTCACCTGGGCGCAAGCTAAGTGCACGGGCGTCGACAGATCGTGTTGCTGTGTGGATATCTTGGCGCCAGATTTCAGGCAGAGCTCCACGGCTTTGATGTCACCTCCGTGCACGGCCGAATGCAGCGGCACATTGCCCTCGGAGTCGTAGAAGGATATCATTTCCTCGCGAGTGCAGCCGCGCTGTTCGCCCCACTGAAATGGTCAAGCATGAATAAGGCATCAATAAATGTTCGCCTGTTCGTTTAGCGAGTGTTCAAAGCAGCCCGAAGCCGAGCGTCTTACTAAATCGGTCAAGAGAATAAAAGCGAAGAGAGAGAAAAAAAAAATGAAAGGATTGGATTTTGAGAAAAATAGAATCCGAATCCGAAAAGTTGTGAGTGGAAAATGCTGGTCCAAATACGAAAATCATTAAAAGCCTTCACTTCTCGAAAATTCTAATTTAAAATTTCTTCTAGTCTGTCTAGAATAAAAGCAGGAAAAAAGTCGTTGACCGACTTTTCAGCTTGACCGAAAATTTGATATTTTGCAGCGAGGAACCCGCTGCATTTGTCTTTTATTTATTTTTTCATTATTAAATCAGTTGGAAAAGTCGCAACATCCGTAAGCTGCTCGAATTTGATACTTTTATAATTGACTTCTTTATGGGGCAGCAGCAGCAGTGGCAGCAGTGACAGCAACAACGGCAACAGCAGGAGGAGCGTGCGCCGTTTCAAAGACGGACATTAAAATGAAGAGTCCAATGCAAAAGGTTAACTTGGCATGGCTGCAACACGAATTAAGTAAAGTGGATAAGCGCTTGGGGACACTGATTGGTGAAGCACTCACGAAAACTTTGTCAACAACTACAAGGCGAAGCACGAGGTCTGTGCGCGCGCGTGTGTGTGTGTGCGTGTGTGTGTGTGTGCGAGTACTTGCCTGGAAGAAGACCTCCATGGTCTTGGAGCTGGCGTTTTTAGCCGCCTCGTGTATGGGATAGTAACCATTGTTGCAAGGTCTACGGGGGCATGCATCAAATTCAGTTATCTGTAAGATACGACATACACAAATGCATTACATAACAGACGCCCATAGTCAACTACTCAAACAAAAGACAGTGCGAGAACTTAATGCAGCTACAAAAAATAATATAGCATACTTTTGTGCGCAACCAAATTGAATGATGTACAAACCTTTTCATATTTGTTTCTTTTCATTTTTTTTTTTTTTGTCAGATGATAAATGATTGAGTATTTACTGTGATTGATTAATGTTCGATAAGGAGGCACAACTTAGCTGCTAATACAACGTATATACGTATATACAATGGCTTTGGCGACTCACTCCACCTACCAGGATACGAGCGCATTCCTCATGATCGTAGATAGCGGCCAGGTGCAGAGCGGTGCGTCCATGCTCGCCGCCCTGCTGGATGTTGATGACGTTGCGATGCTGGCCCATGACGCGCAGGCACTTGACCTTGTTCAGCTCGGTGGCCAAATGGACCGGCGCCTGCTTCTTATCGTTCAATATGCCCGTATCAACAGGACTGCAAACACAGTTTGGTAAGCATAAATCATAAGACTGCAGCGTGCAGCGTGCAGCCGGATTGCTGCCACTTACATCGAGAGCAAATAGTCCAGGGCATCGTAGGCATCGCACTCGACGGCCACATGCATCGGCGTATTGCCGGCGTTGTCCTTGGCATTGAAGTCTGCGCAGGACGATGGCGACGATGATGACGAAAGGGGAAAGGGAAAAGGCAGAGATTTATTACTATAGCAATCTGGAGTCGCTGCCTCCCGCACCTACCTCCACTCTGATCGCGGATGTAGCGCAAGATGTTGACACGATTCCTGGCCGCGGCCTGGTGTGCGGCCGTGCGTCCTTTGCCATCCTGCAGCGCGATGCGCGTGTTATCAGCCATAAACAGACGCTTAAAATCATCCAAGTTGCCCGACTCAGCGGCCTGCAGAAAGACAAAAGGATTTGCGTCAGCTTAAAACTCAATTTGAAGTGGAATTAAAGCTGAAAACGATGTCTCCGTCTCGGTGTAAGTCGCAGTCGCAGTCTCAGTCGCAGTCTCGGTCCAAGTCTCTGTCTCTATCTCAGTCTTTCTCTTTGTCTTTGTCTTTATCTTTGTTGCAGTTGGTCAGAGCACTCGAGCCAAATCAAAATTCCATTGTAAATTGCACCAGGCACAGTCTAGATTCATTTATGCGTCTTGTCCTCTTGCAACGCACGCAGTGTCAATAGAAAGTTTCTAATCAGAGATGGAATCCTGCTCTTGCCATTTCTCTTTTGCTGGCTATTGTTCATTATGTAGCAGGTGCTACTCCTGCTGCTGCTCCTGCTGCATGCACTCGCCACTTCATTTGCATTGCGTCTATTTAACCAACACTTGTGCTGCCCGGCCATGGCCAACTCAATCTAATTACTACTTGATTAACAACTTTTAGACGAGAATGGGAATCCGTGCTCCTCCTCCCTCGTTTACCTGCAGCATTTCGTTGACTTGAATTTTGGGTGCCGAGGACATCCGTAGGATGCGCGCCCATTTGTTGGACAAGTTCAGCGGCGGCATCTCCGACAGCTCTGAGCCGGCGGCACAGCCGCTAATCAAATAACGCAATGGACTGATGACCACATCTCGCTTCGGTATCTCCTTGTCGTTCATTTTGCTGCTCCCTGCTGTTGCTGCTGTTGCTGCTGCTGCTGCTGCTGCGGCTGTTCGCTCAATTTCATTGTTTATCTTCTTGTGTGTTTTATTTCGCTTCAACTTTATAATGTTCGCTGCAAATGGCATTAGCTTGAGTCGCTTCTCCAGCAAATATTATGTTTTCAAATATATTTAGTTAAATGTTAAACAATGCAGCTCAAGCACGATAGAAATATACGTAGTTAAGTTATAGTTGGGCATTTGTTTAAGAATTTAATAAAATATATATATATATTTTTAGATAATATTTGGGTTATTTACTCATTTATATAAATATAATATATATACTATAATATATGCTATATATTTATTTAAAAAAAAAAGATAATTCAACTTTGTCAATCACATCTTGAACGTCGTTTGTTTTTTATGACTTTTCTTTTGATTATTTTCTTGTTGTTTGTATTTGTTTTGATATATTTGTTGCTCTTCACTTTTCAGTTCACATTTTGGCCGAGTTCTGTAGATTTGCTGGCAAGCTTATCAAACTTGATTTCAAAGGTTTTCGAATGTCACTGAACTGGCATAGCGCGCACAACAAGTCCTGGCTGACTGAAATCTCGGCATACGCATCCTTCGCTTTTATAGCCGCGCTTTGCCGAAGGCAAGGATTTGAGCGAAGCACGACGCGTGGTGAATTTCCTTTAATTTCACAGTCAATTTTCATTTTCATGTTCACTTGCCGTTATTGCTGTTGCTGTTGTTGTTGTTGCTGTTGTTGTTGTTGTTGTTGTGAGCAACTTGTTGCGCTGTGTGTCGCTTGCGTGTCTTGTTGGCGTTTCCGTTATGCATAGCTCCTGGCACTTGCTTATCTCTGAGCCCCATTGTTATCTGGCTTTATGTAATAGCAAATCGTGTTTGTCACACACATTGAACTCTGACACAGCTGAGCGTAGCAGCAGCAGCAGCAGCAGCAGCAGCAGCTCCATAAATAAACTGTTGACATTGCTGTAAATCGGTTCGAACCCGGAAGTAGGTCTTGAGCCCAACCAGTTGCTCGAGGTGCAATTGATTTGTTATCGAACTGACCTCGAATGGCGAACGGACCACGAGGGGAGCACTCGGGATGCGTCAAGCTTAAGCTCTAGTCAAGTAGCAGCTCTTAGGTAAGTGGGCTGAACACGGATTAAGCGAGTTGTGGAACAAAGAAGGAGCCGTGATAGCTTATACCCATACGCTTTGGTTTCTTTTTAGCGGGTATGCTTCTTCCTCTTTCATATTTAACGCCCATAAGCCAAAACACCTCGAAACTTCTCTATTCTGCACTCTGATCATTCTGCTATCAACTTCCCGCTGAGCTGGTCCCCATAGAAAGCAAATGATGTCCATGGCCTTGAGCTTGAGAAGTTTGAATTCGGCTGAGCTGCTTTTATACATTTTTCCATGTCTCTTTACTGTCAATTAGCTCAGAATCTCATGGAGTTTATAGGGTCTAGCGGGTTCTAGCTATTTTCGGCTAAGCCATCTAGCTATTTCTAGCTACACTTTTCTTGGATTTGTTAACATAGATTTGTTTATTTATTCATTCTTTCTTTGTGACTCCCGCAGCAGCGCTAGCCAATGCTAGCGCTATGAATCCTATTCGCCCTCTGTATGTTTCCCTTTCTCTCTCTCACACACTTTCTCCCTCTCTCTCACTCTTCTCTCTTGCTTTCCTGTCATCCTCAGCTAAATCCGCTTTAGATTTCTCCCTCACCACGATCCTATTAGCCTGATTATCTTGGAATCTTCTAGAATTGCTAAGTTGCAGCTAGTTTTAGCTATTTTTGGCTACACAATCAATAATCGTTTTTCATAACGCATCTCCCGGGAATCGGCCTATCACTCTAGCAAATTGCCAACCACTCGATTAGCTAGACTCACCCTCAATATCCTGAAGGGGCTGTCACGCAACAGGCAGACCTGCTCCGCTGGCTGCTCGGGCGGCAGTATGGCCTCCAGTGGGGACTCCGCATCATCTTCCGCCATATCCACGCGCTTGGGACCCGCACTGCGCTCGATTATCATCGAGAATATCCAGTACTGCGAATTGAACCAGCTCTAAGGCTCGAAACTTTTCTAGAATTTCCATTGTCTTCCACTCACCTTGCTGTTCCGATTGTTAGTTCCGCTGCCGCCTCCTCCTCCGCTTCCGCCCCCACCGCCGCCGCCTCCTGCTCCGCTGCTATTGGCGCGCAGCTTGGGCAGCAACTTGGGCTGTGCCTCCATCAGATCGGGCGGCGAGAGATGTCCACATTGGGCATTGTAAACACCGTTCCAGAGCTTGGGCATATCGACTGGATCGGGTTGCTGCGCCTGCGGCTCCTGCTGATCTGTGCCAGCAGCTGTTGCGATGGTAAAGGGCCGCAAATCACGACTGCTAACGGGAAATTGGCATTCGTCAGTATTGTATGCGTATTTCACAATAATCCCTGTCACAATTATCAGCCACAATCAATCGGCTAATTAGTTATTGATTGGGCTGCCCAAGCCGAACCGTTTAACAAACGTCTGAAATTCGTCTCCCCCTCTCTCTCTCCCTCTGCCTATTTAGATAACCCAATCAATCGTCACACGATATTCAAATTCTGTTATTGTTGTTGTTGTTGTTTGCTTAGGCAGATAAGGGTGCAAGGCCTGGCAGCTATTGTGGGGGCTGGCAACTGTACCAGAACGCTTGACGGGTCTCTGGATAATGCTGCCAGTTTCTCGGAATATCTGGCAATGGACTGAGAGAGGGTATATTAGTTGCAGTTGCAAAGCAATAGGCGTGGCAGGCATATGAATCTTTTTAGTCGTATACTCCCTTCTATGTCGTATACTCTCTCTCTCTCTCTCTCCCTCTCTCTACTCTCTCGTTTAGCATAATGTTTATAATTGTTACGGTGTCAACGCCCGCTTGTCACATATTTTTATTGCTCACTCCCTCTCTCTCTCTCTTTCTTTCCGCCTCTCTCTGGGGATACCGAAACCACATTAGTTGACAGTCGTTAATTAAAGAGGCGCTTATTTTTGGCAGACACTGTTAATGGCGATTCCATTTGCATTTCACAATGGCCACGCCCCTCACCTGCTCCGCTCCAGCGGCATGGCGAAGCGACTCGTAGAACCAGCTGCCTCGAGGACTGAAATCCAACTAAATGACAAATCTGGCATCTGATATTGGCCTGCATCAATGCTAGCGTAATTAAATTACAGAGATAAGGATCGGCTGTCTATATCCGAATCTGAGTCGGCCTTTGTTGTGCATGGCTCGTGGTCATTGTGCATTTGCCTAATGAAAATTCTGAATGTGGAATAGGCTCTGCCCCCTTGTGATTGCCAGTGCAATCGCCCAATCGAAAGGTGACTTTCATTTCGGGGCTGATGAGCTGACGAAATGTCCAAACATTTTGATTAGTATGAGTGCCCAAAGCAAACAAAGGGTAACATATGTGACTTTTCTTTCTTTTTTTTTTTGCGTGAATTTGATTAATTAAATCAGTCAATATTGCAATATCAAATGACATATGGAGCGGTTTTTTGAGTTCAGAGAAATATTTTTGTTAAAGAAGATTCATTTAATTTCATGAATTTAGTAAACTTCTTTGGGGTTTCAATATATCTATATAAAATACTTGTAAATTTATAGTCTTTTAATGTAAAAATTTTTTTATATTATTCTCCTCATTAATTATATATTGATATTTTTGTCATTATATTTCCATTCGCATTGATTTTAAATATTATTTTAATTATTAATTATCTTTGCATGCTGAGTACTCATTAACAAAACAACATCCATTGTATGCCTTCTTTATAGCATCATATATAATATTAGAGGATATCGAGAATCTATTATTAAAAACTTTTTAACTTTTTAAACGCTGGATTGCCATTAGTATTAACTACATACTTTACACTATAATTTATACTATATACATACATATGTTATACGGCTTTATTGAAATATCATCCAGCTTATTTTCAGCCGGAATTATTTAACTGTTTTATGACAACAACTATTCATATTTTTTTATTTAATTATTTATTTATTTTTTAATAATTTTTGTTTTCACTTATTCAAATAATTGTTTTAAGCTCACCTGATTTTCAATGAGAAACGTTCGACGTTTAGCTTCTGAGGCTTAGCCTTAAAAGCGATCATATAAATTGTTAATTGGTTGGGAACGTAGCGCTTATAATTTACATTTTCGAATGGCCTTTAATAAAAATATTTTGTTTAAATAATTTAATTGCTAAAAATATCATTTATTACATATCATTTATACATGAAGCTAAAAACATACACGTAAATAGCTGGCAATTTTTGTTTAATATCACTTATAAAACAAATTCTGTAAATGAAAACTAAATTAAAAATTAAGAAAAAAGCAGAAACTAAATATAAACTTTTTTGTTTAGATATATTCTTTGTGGAAATAATTCAAGAAAATGTTTTTAAGCTTTATTATTATTTATAATTGTTGTATTTTTATATATTATGCCATATGCTTGAGCTCTATGGATCGCTGTGGCATATTGCATGGGAACAACACTGTTTTAAGTTTAAGTTGAAGTTTCCTTAGCGAACTTTCAGTTATTGATGGACAGGTGGGTGGCACTATTGTTGTTGTTGTTGTTGTTGTTGTTGTTGTTGTTGTTGTTGTTACTTTAGTTGACTTTCTTTGAGCACAACACTTTAATTAAGAAACGCAATTAAAACTGCTTTTGTGTGCGTGCGTGTACGTGTGTGTGTGTGTGCGCGCGTGTGCAGTTACTCTGCTCTGTGGCCTTATTAACACTTTATTGGACTTCTGCGTACCGACAGCCTCGCCAGCTGAACTCCAACTGAGTGCTAGAGCAACTGAGCTGCGACTGTAGTTCCAGCTAACCCATTGAGTGAGTCCCTAGCCTTTAACTAGGGCCTCCAGCCAAGTCTCGATAAGCGTGTCTGCCTTTCGTCAATTTGTCACACAGCTCAGCTGAAGCTCATACGAGCCCCATACGACAGCTGGGCATTCGCTCGACATTTGCTTTTGTAATTAAACTGTTTGCGAAATGCTCACAAATATATATAAAAATACATATATGGAAATTGTACAAGTATATATTAATATATGTATGTGTATCACTCTCTTTGTCTCTCTCTCTGTATCTGTGCTCGCCTCGTATATGGTGAAATACGACGCGTAAAGGAATTTTACATTAGTTTTGCATTTGTTGTTCCATTTTTATCAATGGGCCAACAAAGTTTCCATTGGCCAGGGTAAGGCATTGCGTGTAATTGATTGAATGAGATCCTTAATCTGTATGACGTTAAGTATACGTCTATATATTTATATATACATAGATGTGCGGCTAGAGCTGGCAATTTTATGAAATGAAGCAACTCCCGGGAGTAGGACTGAAAATTTCAATTCACAAATTGTGCTACTTAGATGATTGTGAATGATTGATATAATGATATATGATATGGGCATAGATCTAGAAATTTATCTGAGCTCACTTAAGTAATAAATTAGTGGAAAACAAATTATTAGTGAGTATTGGTTGAAGTGTGTCAAAGCAGGCAAAACTTTACTGTAGATCCATGAAAAATATTGAAGTTTAGCTTGAGATATCTCAGTATTGATTAGCAATTTAAGGATCTAATTGAGTTCAGTTAGCAGCTTTCTAAAGTGTAATTTATGTCCTCAACAATTAATTGCAATTGACCCAGAGATGTTTGTAATACATAGCATATTCCAATAACTCAATAGTATCGCCACAGCTAAAGTTTCTTTCAACAACTGATTTCAGTGCACATTGCCAAGTCCGCGGTAGCCGAGGGAAACCCCAGGCATGCTCACGTTTCCATCCCCAATGGAAACCTGCAAAGTCCGTCCGGCATATGCAGCTCGTATATAAGCATCTAGATAGAAATTGTATACTATATATCGGGGCAGCCTTATCGCTGGCCAGTCGAACGCCTTTTCAGCACATACTTGTTCCAGCAATTGCTAATTGCATTTAATTAATCAGAAAGCCACGAGTTGCAGGCGCCGTGTTCGACATTTAATAACACTTAAAAAACCAATGGAATAAGAGCACAAATTTAGTTCATTATAAAAGTTGTAAATTGAAAATGGAAAATGTGGCAAATCATTTGAGGGGTATTTTCATCAATTGAGTGGGCAATCCATAGAAGAACAAAGTCAAGCCCAGCCCAATGCACAGCAATAGGATGCCAATGTAAACATATTTGCGTATGACGGGCCACAGAATGAGATGGGCGGACTTGAAGGGATGCGTCAGAGGATTAAACGATGTCTTGGGACGACTGTAAAGGGAATTCCAGTAAGTGCGATGAAAACTGTGAAAACGAGTTCGAAGACCTACTTGGGTGGCTCCAGTGCCATGGGAGGCTGATGACCCAGGCCAGCGGGTGCATTGGATGCCTCTGGCTCCGTTAAGATTTCCAATTGCAACTGTGCTTTGCCCTAGAATTTTAGGAGTAATTAGCGTTAAAGAGAGGAAATATCTCTCGGGATAGCATATGCCATAGGTCCAAGAGGGGTAAGAAGCCACAGATGGAACAACTTTTAGTACTCAGATATCATCTGAAATATACGCACTGTGATCGTCCTGTGCACGGGTACTCCATCCTTCGATATTAGACCATCGACTAGAGGAAACCAGCCCTCAACGTTTCTTCTATTGAAGAGATTGATGCGCTGATGGGAATTGGGAAAGGGTTTACAGCGTCTCTCGGACGAATAGGGCAACGGTAGATCAGATAAATTTAGCTCCAGGGCACCCAAGAACTCGTCTTTACTGAGGACATCCTTATCCCAGACCTGAAAATAGATTAACGGTGGCTTCTTGATTTCGATTTCCTCGCCCTGCAGCCCGCCCTTGCGCCTGATGACCATCTGCGGAGCAGATTTAATGAGTTGCTTCATTATTTATGCTCTTAATATTGTTTTACAGCTGCCAATTAGGCGAGGCTAGGGCACCTACCATGTCCTCGTTGGGCGAGTATTTCATTTGGAATATCATCCGCCAATTAAATGCAGCCTCGCCAGCAAATGAACGGTAATGTATATCCGTCGACTGGTACTTGCCCGAGTCCTGGCACCAGCTGCCAAAAAGGAGCACGAAAATGCAAAATGCGCTTAATTGAATATCGTTTACACTATGCGAACCCCTAGCCACAGGCCCCACGCCCCACGCCCCATGCCCCTCGCTACCCTCTCTACATTCCCCTCAACTTTCCCCTCTGGCAGCGCTTACCCAATCACATAAATATCGCTCATTAATTTGCCGAAAATGTTTTTATCTCCAAACTGAATATCGCGCAAACTTTTGACCACAACACGCACCTCATAGTCATAGGGGGCCACGGGCGTAATGTCCACGGGCGTTGGCAAAAACATGCTCGTCTCATACAGCTCTAACCACATTTGGATTTTGCCCTGAAAAAGGAAGACGGAAAAGCGAATGTAATTCCTTTGCTGTATGCAACTGGATATACCCTGTAGGATATACCCTATTTGACCATGTGTAGTCACCTGTAGGACTCCTGGGCTGTCGTCGGTATATAAGGAACGCGTCTCGACATGCTCCGGCACCAGTTTGTAGCCAAAGGATGGCAGCCTATCCAGATTATTGAGGGCCGTCAGACTCAATCGCTCCTTCAGCTCCTCCGCTGTGGGCAAGCAAATTAGTTCAGGTCTAGACTTTAGCTGAAGTACTCACATTTTGAAATGACGGTCTCATCGCCCAAGAGCGTGCCATCCACCTCGATGACATTGCCATAGTAGTAGGGAGGCGGAATGCCTCGCTGCTGGCAGAGGTCGGCAAGCAGCTGGGAGGGCAGCAGAGGATCCCTCCACTGGTTGTAGCCTAAGCGTGAGTACTCCTGGGGAATGCCCACTGTGGCGCGATGCTTGCTGTGCCAGCGGTCCTCCAGATCGATTTGAGTGTAGCCAATAATTCCGTCTTTGCGCTTGTCATGATCGAACAGCGCCAGCTCCAGTATGGGATCGGCGGGCAGCGTTGTGCTCAGCTCGAAGAAACGTCCGAAGATGGGATTACTCTGGTTGGGCACATAGTTGGCACGATCCGAGATCATCTTGCCGCCCAGTGTGAGGCGCACATACGTATCCGAGTCGGAGAACCAATCTCTAGGCCTGATTTGGAGACCCTGCACTACGTAAACCCTGACTATCAGCTTGACAACATCGGTCAGCGATTTGATTAGGCTCTGTTCACGCGGACTTAGAGCAGCCGGCAGTGGCAGCAGCGCATTCCCATCGCCAACTCCATCCTCAGTGTTCGCGCCCTCACAGGGCGTCAGCTTAATCTGCAGCTTCAGTGTGGCATAGACGTCCTCTTTAGGTGGTCCATGCTTCTTCATCTTGACGCCATGCACCAGGGGCACGGGCACTGCCCAATCTTGAAAGTAACTGAACTGGGGCTGCTTCTCGAGCTCTGAACTGTAGATGACCAGTTTATGTTTGCACTTATGCAAGCCATCGTCGCCTCCAATCCACATGGAATTGTAGAACTTGGTCCACCACGTGAACCGGCTATCCACTACTTCAGTCAAGTCCCTGCAATCGCCTAGTCTAAGTAGATTCTGGTTGGCATAGGCGGCGGTTCGTAGGCCCAACATGATCTTCAGACGCTTCCAGAACAAGGGCCCCTTCTCCTCTGGAATATGTCTGTCGTCGTCCTCGGTCGTTTCGTCCTGATTTATAACAATTACTGAATTGGGAACGGAGCTTTCGACCGGCTTTCGCATGCATTTGCTCGATCGATCCTTTTGCAGAAAGTTCGGCGAGGGGGGTATTAGAGCGGCGCCTAAGGTAGACTCATGGGAGAAGCTGCTGGCCAGCACATCCGTGGCTATTATAGCCGGCCAGTACTCCTGCTGATCGGGCAGGCTCTGCAAGGTTCCAAGTAGCTAACAGAGATCATTTTAAGTGAGTGTGAGGCTACATACCACCACGCCGGAAGCATAAGCAACCAGGAAGTTGATGCTGTTCCTCACCCGCGAGGTAGAGAGTCCACTAGTCAAGACCAGATCGGCCATGATGACCTTGGCACGTCGCTTGCCCGCCGTGCACATGCCCACTTTAGAATAGTTGCGCAGTCCAACAAAAATAACCTCGAGTCTAATTCCTTGGCTATTAGAGGGAACTTTATAATTAAGAAATGCAAGTAAGACTTACACATAGTTGAGCATATTGGGTCGTATAGACAGAGGTATGCCTGTTGTCAGCTGTGGCTCCTTATCCTCAAAGATCTGCGTATCGCCCAGCTGCTGCTTCAATTCCACCGACATTAACAGTTCGGCCTGTACCCTTCCATTCTTGGCTATGGAAACCCACTTAAGCGGAGGCGGACTGACATTCCTCAACTTGCTCAGCCGCTGCAGTGTACCTTTAGCCAAATACTTGCTTTCATCGCCGCGGCTGCTCTCCTCGCTCAGGTCCGCTGTGATGACACTTGACTTGATCTGTCCACTGCCCACCGTCTCCTGCTGGCAGTTGAAGAGCTCCAAGCCGAGCTGCGGCGGGTTCTGCAGATACCAGTTGACGCCACCCGGCAGGGACAGCCCATTGACGGTGATCACAGCATCCCAGATGGGCGAACAGACGCTCCTAGCTGTGCCCGTCTCAGCTGCCTGCGATGCAAAGATAACGCGCACATATCCATCGCACTCGACCTTATTGTCGCTGCCCGGTCGCACCTTCGCCTGGTGCACATAGATATGACAGCGGAAGAATGTCTGCGCCACATTCGGCAGCCAAGTGTAGGGCGTGGGCGTGGACCACTCGCCCGCAATGCGGGACAGGAACTCGTGCCGTTCACTCTCGAGCACTATGGAGATACAGCCGAGAACGAGGCCAGCATTGCAGCCACAATTGGAGCAGGTGTGCGGACAGCTGCTGCTCTTGAAGAGGAAGCTCTTCATGCGCCAGCAATGATTGCTCGCCTGGTTGATTGGCCTCTGTTGCAGACACAGAAAGTGTTTGGCATTCAGGTGACAGAAGCCAATCTGCTTGCCGCCTGCACTCAGGGTGAGCAGCAGCTCCGGCCAGTCGTCCTGCACGTGCATTAAATTAGACAGCGAATTGATTTCCCCAATTACACGATGCAGTTCGTTAACTATGTCCATTATGGTGGAATCCATATTCGAGGAGTACCTCGACTTCAGTCTCTGTCGCAACGAGCGCAGCTCCTTGGGCACCTTTCTGAAGTAAGACAGCACGTATTGCTGTCTGTTCAAATCCCAGGTGGTGCTCTCCTCCCCCATATCGTAGTCAAAGCGATGCAGACTCACGCTTTCTTCGATTTTGGAAACAATGCTGTGGATAATGGACTTCAGGCATTTGGCCTGATGTTGCATGTGATTGGGGAACTTGAGCTGAAAGATCGTAAAGGTGGCCAGCTCAGAGCGCTAAGAAGGAGAGGATTAAGGCGGCGGGCTAACACTTATCACATGGGCCTTACCATATAGTTGGCTATATCAATCATAAAGAAATCCGCTTCAAATTTGATGCGATTATCGGGCAGGTGGACCCGGAACAGACAAGATTGATAAGGCGCTTCCCGGCGAAAGGATTTCATTTGTGAACGCAATTTGCCCGATGGCGTCGTCAAAGGGCCCTCCAGCTCATTTGAGTAAAACTCCGCAAGCTGGACAGCAAATTTATACTGCTGTGAGTTGCTGGGTATATAATCTCCGAGAATAGGCAGGAACTCCACAACAAACGACTGGTCTGACCAGTTGCCTGGAGGAGACACCGATTCGTTAATCAAAACATGCGTAGGATGACCTTCCTGCAGAGTTTCAGAACGCAACTCCAACAAAACGCGACCCACATAGTTCGACGGATAGATGGGATCATACAAATGCAAATAAGTTGGTCCAAACGATGGCTTGTCTACCGAAATATAAAAATATATAAAAGGGCGAATGGAGATCCCTTTTAAGTATTTGAAGTCATAATTTCCAAGCTTACCTTCAAAGGCAATTTCATCGAAAGACAAATCATATTGCGCTATGCATTTCCATTGCATATGCTCCTGCATCATAAATAAGATGAGAAATCGTTGGGCCAGAGAGGGAAAGACCCATGCAAAGCTAATCTCCTGATTCCACACCGGTGTCATTGTGTTCTTCTGCACAGACGTTTTGCCCTTTAAAGGATGGAAACTGGACTTTACTCAAAACGAAAACTAAAGTCAGTAGTAATGCAAATACTTTGAAGCCAGCAAACGATAGTTGTATCATGTAGTTACTATGCTTCGTGAAGATTCCACGATAGAAGCTGATGAAGTAGCGAATGTTTCTCAGGGTATCCGAGTCGACGTCCTCTAAGAGATTGCTATACGGACTTATTAAGCAGAAAGTGTTGATACCTAGATTCCTTACCTCTTGATATCGTCAAAGTCATGATGCGTTGGCCATTTGGTCAGCTCCTCAGGCTCATCTGCAGTTAGAGTTGGCTTCACAGCGCTGTGCTGCGAGACAATGGCCAAGTCGATTTGCAGATAGCCGCAGGATTCGCGCTCGCCTCCCTTGAAGGGATGCTCCCCCAGGGGCGTCTCGAGTCGACCCCATCGCTTGAAGTAGCAGTGATTGGGCTGATTCCACACGCTATGCAAATCAATCATAAGCTCACCAATGTTCGCGTTCTTCTTGTACATCTTGTACTTTTTCAGTTCAAAGAGCACAGTCAGACGCAATAGCTCTGCTAGCGTACAGTGGAACTCAAACACAAAGTACTGAAAGAGATGTGCATTATGATTAAGCGTATTTATTTATCATACTCACCTCATTGAAGAATGGATTTTCTGAGTTTGTTTGAGTTTTCGTATTTTTGGTCATTTTATCTAAGCAGATTTTCACGTACAGCTCTCCGTTGGGCACGCCCGTCTCTGCCGCCTTATGCACTGTAATGCATATAAGAAAATCTTGTACCGCACCTGCAAAGCAATCCGACGGATTCATTTTATTTCTAAGTTATTTAATATTTTGCTAAATTATTTAATCTCAATGTATTTATTTTGTTGATTAAATGCTCCCAAGTTGTTTTGCTTAAAAATTTTCTTGAAAAGCTTTTTACATACACATTCAAAAATGTTTTTGTAACTGTCATTGTCAACAACGCTCTGGCAACGCTATTGTCTAGTCAATTCACCGCAAGCAATTCTTGAAAGCTCTCTGACCAGCGCTCTCACCTCGAAAGCTCGCCGTTGCAAGCGCTGAACGCGCTTATTGTTGTTTCGCTGCTTAGAAGCTTTCAGCTGGCCCAACCTGCTATTTATATGCATGTGGCCGTGCAGAGGGCCATTGGCGCACACAGGGAGGGTTTTTGTTTTGTTTCTGTAATAAGCAGTAATTAGTTGAATATATCAAAACTATTAGTGTAAGAGAATGTTTTAAGCTAAATCCAATTATATTTGACCCTAGTTAACCGGCATTTTCGCATCTGTTTCTCTTCAACATTTTCTTTAGAGCCCCTTCTATAAACTTGCTGTCTGCGCCTCTGCGTTCAGCTCTTTGAGCTTGTGCTTTTGAGCTCCAGCTCTCCAGCTCTGATGTTGGGCACTTCAGTTTCAGTTCGCGTGCACGGGCCAAACAGTTGACATAGTGTTGCTTGCGCTCACAGATTCGTATCGGGGCTATATTGAAAGCGAGCATCGCAGTTTGCAGCCGTCGGTCGTAGTTGTTGTCGTGGTCGGAATTGTTGTTTTTATTGCTGTCATCGCAGTTGCGTCTCTGCGTGAGTGAGTGAGTTTGTGTGTGTGAGCCTGCCTGGAATCGCTCAAGCGGGAGTTGGCTGTTACTTTGCTCTCAGCCTCCAGCATACGCTGCGTCCAAGCTTTCGGTGCGTCTCTTCTGGGTGCCTATGCGCCTCCAACTCTGTTTATGTGTGTGTAGGTGTGTGTGAGTGTGTGTGTGCTGCTGATTTTGTGTATAATTTTTTGCGCGCGCTCAATCAAAACAGATCCCAGTTAAAGCAGCCATAACAAAACTGAGCAGAAACCATCAATGAAAATTAATTTTTAATTTCAATAAATATTCTAAGTAATAAGTGTAACATAAATTGATATCAATACGAAAAACTAAAGCAAAAAACTTAACAATAAATTGTTGGCTAAGTTTAACAGAAACAGAATACAATATTTTCAGCTGTCTACACAATGCATGAGAATAAGAAAACATACATACATATGTATATGCATAAATGTATACAAAATAAAATGCTCTAAATTTCCCACAATCATTGCAGCAAACACATCAACAGGACCTTCGTCGCTTCACGCATCCTCTTTTTAATATTCCATAAGCTCGCTACCAAACGCGTGCTAAGAACTTTTCAGGTAAGCTTGACTTTTAGTTTTACAGTCATACATACAAATATATTTTCGCCTACGTGTGTGTGTGTGTTTGTGTGAGCATGCATAAATCAAAAGAGCAGAGCAAGCAGCGACAGAGAGTTTGCTTCTGCTGCTGATGCTGCTGCTGCTCAGCAGCTGACACCCAGCCACCCACTTGAATCGCCCACACCCAGAGCAGCCACCCCAATGCCCAACCCAAGGCTCAGTGGTGGATACGCACACGCTTTTGCGTCGTTGCCTTCTAGCTCTTCTCCGATTGCTGAATGCTGCTGCCTCCCCCTTTCGTCTATGCTGGCCGTGTGTGTGTGTGTGAATGTGCCCAACTCCTTCTGCTTTAACATCTCTCTCTCTCTCCCTCTCCTTTATTTACCGTTGCAACTTGTGCCACTTTTCAATTGTCATTTACGCGTCATTTCTTTGCGGTCTTCACAATATTTTATCTCTTCTTCTGCTCTTCGTTTTTGACTGTGTTGTTTTTTTTTTTTTTTTGGGTGCAGTGAAAGGCTTGCAAATACTTTCGTAGCCCATTTGCAGTTGTTGTTGTTGTTACTCGTTTTGTATGTCTTGCTTGCAATTTCGTATCGTTCTTTGCGCATTTGTAGCCATTCGCTTTTTGATCTTGAAACTCGTGCTCTGTCTCTTTCGCTCTCGCTCTCGTTCTTGCTAACTCTCAGCTCGGCTGCTGCTGCTGCTGCTGCGAACGAGTTTATCAAACAGGAAAAATCATTAAAGCAATTCAAATTGTTTATTGAAAAGCAACAGAAAGCAGGGGACAGCAGAGAAAAAAAGCGAGAATCGGCAAATTCGTTTTTGTTTTGTGTTTGTTATTATCTCGCTTTTGTGCTGAATTTTGCAAGATTTGTGGACTCCCTTTATTTTGCTCCATTTGCAATTAGCTAGTTAAACGGTATGCAAAATTGTGTGGACGTAGTGGTACGCTGTGAAGTGAAAGACCAGCTAAGAGGTATCGTAAATATTTGACATACTATTATTAATCCAATAATATTATGAAATATTCTTTGTAAATAGTTATATTGTAAAATTTTGTAGTTCCTTTCTCTGTAGCCGTATTAAATGGACAGCATTTAGTCACATTTATTAATCAGCGCTATCAACTGCTGATTAAACTGGCGCTTTAGAAAGACAAAGGCTTTAGAATCAGATTTTAATTGATTAAACAATCGAAACGTGGCTTCAAAGCAGTTGCAGAACAAAGCTGGCGCATACAAGAAATAACAATAATAAATAATTAACAGATAACACAGCTGTGCAATAGAAACATATATCTAGGCATAAATAATTGTTCTGTGAGTGGTAAAACAGCTCAGTCGATATATGTATGTATAAAGTGTTGCCAATCAAGTAGACAAAGTTTTTCGTTCGTAATTCAGTTACCAAACATCCGCATAAAGGCTGTTGCAAGCCGCAAGAAGAACACATCAAGCATGAAGTCAGGGCTCAGACTCAAACCTGCAACATAATTCAATTAGTATAGCGAGCGAGCGAGACAGCGATATAGATAGAGGGAATCGCATAAAAGCAGCCGCAGCGAAGCGAAAGGAAGTCGCATTGGTCGCCAGAGGGCGCCACCTGACTCAGCCTGTCTGCCCGCTTGCCGAGGGGCGGCACTTGAATTCGCCGTTAAAAGGCAGCCAAAAAATCAAGAAAAAAAAAATACAAATCTTAGAGCCAAATTGGCGACACTTTGCACTGTTGACCCACTTAAAAGAAACTTTTAAAAGTTTATTTTATTTAAACGCAATTGGATAAACTTCTTCAGTACGAGCGCTTCGCAAAGTTTCAAAATTTGATATGACATATACAGGCAGACAATGGCCGCTCGGCGCTAATAAAACTGACATGAAATATGCTGCGGCACGAACTCAAGGTGATCAACTCTGTGGTATCTGTAGAAACGTATCTGCTCGAAATGTATCTGCATTCGGGCGGGCAGCGCCTGGGTTACGGTCACGATGCGTGTTGCGCATTGCATATTTTATGGTAATTCGAACTAGTTGCCCTAACTCTTTGCTACTTTCACACCCAGCTAAGCTAAGCTTAACACGCCACGCCCCTCGGCAATCGCCGCCGCCCACTGGCATTTCTCACAGTCAGCTAAAATTACAGAGTTTGCTTCAATTACCACAGCGGCAGTCGCTGCCAATTGCCATGTGTTTGCCCCAAGTTCAGTGCTCTGGTCAGTAATTAAAAATCAAGCCTCTGTCTGCAGGAAGACCCGCACAGGCAGAGCACACAGAGAGCTATCAGAGTGCGTGTGTGTGTGCTTGAAGTTCTCACCAGCTCTTACCTAACTTCCCATTCTTAATTGTGCACAAATCATGGGTCTACATTTCATTGTAACTACGGCGAGTCCATTAGATCTCTTTTGCCCATAGATATTTCTATTTCCTTGGAGCCAGCGCAGTGCATTTAGCGGAAATCGAATACGCTGCACTTAACTGTTGCAATTCGTTCTCCAGCTCTAGCTACGACCCCAGGGCCTAAGCCATTCGCCTAATCACTCTGGCAGTCGCTCTCTCCCTGTTCCTCTCTCTCTCTCTCTCTCTCGTTGTCTCTGCTGTTGTCTTTGTGGCTTAGGAGTTGCCACAGCGTCACATTCGATTAGATTAGCCTTTGTTGTCATTGTTGCAGCCATGGCAAATCCCTAAATGACCAGTCTCTAAACGTTTCACTTGACAGCCCATTGTCTTAAAGCACAAACTTAATTCAATTAAGTGTTGTGAAAGTGTTAAACTAGCTAACTTCAACTTATGAGAATTGCATAGAAAGTCTGGATTTTTCTGCTGATTATGGAAATATATGTATTCTAGTCAGTGCTTACATCTGAACATACATTCCTATAGCATATACGTACATGCAAATCTACTCATACATGCATGCATCATGTATGCATGCATTACTTTCATTTGGAAAGGCAACTTATTTAACTTTAAACATACATTAGTTAAAATTCCAACAGGCATGCATACATGCATGCATGTACATATACATATATATATGCAGACATGCATACCCACAATACATGCATATAAACCTTAAATTTCCTATAAAGTGACAGACTCAGACTCAGACTCAGATGTTTGTCATACACTCATGCATCTCTATATATCACTTAAGTACATATATGTACATATGCTCAAAGGCATCCATGCAAACATTATTCACATTACTTACATCCCATAAATTAGATATAATAAAAAAAAAATAACTTTCTAGCTGCTGGGCTGAGCTTTATGAGAGTCGAGTGAGGCAGCACTAGCAGATCTATATAAAAGTATATATGCTTATATTCTATGCGATATATCAGCTATTTTCTACTATCACAACAAACCTTAAATTCAATTTCAATTTCTTCATAATCAATTCAAGCTAATGAAAGTTTTACTATTATAAATTAGAATTAAAATTCCGTCTGCGCTGAGGGAAAATTAAATGCGCAAATGACTTAGGCTGCAGCTTAAATAGATTATAATCGAACACAACTTGGGGCGCAGTGGCCTGTGGTCAATTTACAAGCCAGCCAAGAGAAGTAAATGTTAGTTCAATTTTCTTTTCGGGTGCCGTTTCGTGAGGTAACTGCAGAGCAGATCAGGTGTGTGGCGGGTAGCAGGTGCTGGGCATCGTTTAGTGCCCTCTTTAATGCGCGCTGTCAAACGCTTGATTAATGAATCAAACCACTGTAACAACTAAAGGCACCCAAAAACAGGAAGTGGCACAAAATATAAAAAATATTTACTTTCGCATGAAAAAAAAAAATACAAAATACAAAATAAAGGCAACACAAAGAAATGGCTTAAAACATGGCCGATTGCGCAACTGAGTGTGCGTAACTGCAGTCTTTGTTGCGGCAGCCCATCAGGTAGCACAGACAGGTGACTGGCGACAGCAATTAACTGCGATGCTCAATCAGTTCAACAAGACTCGGAAAATATGTCTCAATTTGTGGGCTTAAACTCCGAAAAGTAAAAATTATAAACTGCAATTGAAATTGACTTTAAGCATGGGCATAGATTACACAGTATTTTCAGTTTACCTTTTTTTGTTGTCTTCTTTTTACTCGTTGTTTGTTTGTTGTTTCTGTAAATGAAAACACAAAAAGTGAAAGTCCGAATGGGCGACTGCTGCAACAGTGCATATTAATTTGGCTTTTAGTTTTTAATCACAGCCGAAAGACAACGAGACGGACAAAGCTGGCCTAAAGCCCAAAAAAAATAAATTGAAAGAAACAACTGGTCACCCTTAAGCCCTATTTTCAGTTTGTTGTTGCTGCTGCTGCTGCTGCTGCTGCTGCTGCTAGCGACTGCGCATGTGTGGCTCAGTTGGCTCAGGTTTTTCCACATATTTGCAAGCTGATGTAATACTTACAGTGAGTGCAAAAAGCTGTTGCACTTGCAGCAAGTGCATTCAACTTCGTAAAACTTTATTTGTGCATTAAAAGAACTTTATAGTTGTCTATTAGCTTATCTATATAGATCTAAGCCTTCTAAAAAAAAAGCAGGAAGTTTTAGTCAAGTTTTGCCGTCTCAAAATCTCCCACATAAATTTGCAGCAGAAACTTTTGATGTTTGTGTGCATGCGCGTGCGTGTGTGTGTGTGTCTTGGCAACGCCCGGCAATGTTTCATGCTGGTTGCAACAGCAGCAACTAGCTGCAACAGCAGCAACTGGCTTTTGATATGGTGCGTCGCACAGTGGAGAAGTTGCACACATTTTGGAGCAAAATTTCAAAGCTCTGATGCAATTGATCTAAATAGCATTTATTGATTTTCTGCCACGCCTTTTGCCCGCATGGCCCCACTGTGCAACTGCAACACTTCACGTTCACAATTTTTCCAGCTGCATTTCCCAGACGCGGCGAGTGTAAAATATTGCAACATTTTCGGGTGCCAAAACTAATTGGCCAACATTTGCAGCAACGCATTGACACATATCGCCTAGCCGAAAAGGCCAGAGGGAAGCCAGT